AGGGGCAACCCCGGGGCAGGGGCAACCCCGGGGCAGGGGCACCCCTCGGGGCAGGGGGCCCGGCCCTGGGCACCCCCCGGCAGGAGCACCCCCCGGGGCAGGGGTCCCCGGCCCTGGGGCCACACCGCCCCCCGGCTCCCTTCTGCACGTTCCGGTTTTAAATCGGGTTTTTGTTACTTGGGTGCCGAAACGCGGTAGCGGAGGCCCCGGGCCCTGGCCCCCCCCCGGCAGGAGCACCCCCCGGGGCAGGGGTCCCCGGCCCTGGGGCCACACCGCCCCCCGGCTCCCTTCTGCACGTTCCGGTTTTAAATCGGGTTTTTGTTACTTGGGTGCCGAAACGCGGTAGCGGAGGCCCCGGCGTTGTGACCGCGCAGTGATCTCTAAAAAGTTGCAGCTAATAGGATCCGTTTACTTTGAGGAAGAATTGATGTTCTGTGAGGGTGCCCAGGCGCTGGCAGAGGCTGCCCAGGGGGGCTGTGGCTGCCCCCCCCCTGCCAGCCTTCAAGGCCAGGTGGGATGGGGCTCTGAGCAACCTGCTCCAGTGGCATCATGGCAGAGCTGTTGGAACTAGATGGTCTTCCAGGTCCCTTCCAATCCAGACGGTTGTGTGATTCTCTGTTTTATCTGGTGGCAGCTGTACCCAAGGTACTTTGTAACTCTCACGAGCTGCTAGCTTTATGCTTGTGGCAGCTGCATAATCTCTCTTTAATATTTCAAAATTGCACACCCTCTCCGTGTTGTACAAAAAGAAACACACAAACGCCACGTTCGTTATTTAAAATTGCTGCTTGGACACAGCAACATGGAGCTGCAAGTTAGTCATATTGCAGTGTAGATTTGTACAGTTGTGACCTCTCAAAAGTCCCTTTTTTTGTGTGTAGATTGTCAGCAAAATCTGTGAGGAGAGAGCAGAAGAGATTTGGCCTAAGTTAGATAAATATCTTGGAGGGCTTTGCCTCTGATGAGAAGAGCCCAGATCTCTTCAGAGTAAAAGCAAGTTGTATGTTGCAGTCAAATTGTTGACACCACCACTTGAGAAGATGCAGTCTTTTAAAAACTGGTGCCACTCAAATCTTGAAATTCATTCATTTGTACCTTTTTTGGTTTCTCAAATATTGATAATATAGCAATATATTGATGAGCTGAGCAGCCTACAGTTGCTTTACTCTTGACACAGCTTTTGTACTTTAATGTTGGGACAATTGCCCGAATTCTTATGTGAGGATTTTAGCTCAGAATTGTTGAGAATCCTGTTAAGTGATCCTGAGTTGTTATTGAAGGGGTTAGAAGTTAGCCTGGGGTGTAGGTATTATGCATAATAATACTACTTTTATACAACCATTGAGGTTAGGCATATTCCAGTGCTTCAGGCCAACCTACTTTTTTGCATTAAGAGCAAAAGGAGAAGGTAGCTTCTTGTCCTTGATATCTGTTCTTCAGGAAGCAGAAGTACTCAAGACTTTGGGTTTTGTTTTATTTAGCTGGGGTTGAGAGGTAGGAAGGGTGGAAAAAGAAGAGAAAAATGAAGCAGCTTAATGCTTTAGGGTAAATATCAGTCTTTGCAAAAGTAAGATTAAGGATTTTTTTCCTTTTATTCTTCCTTTCTCCAGTTTTGACAGGGTGACAGTAACAAGTGAACTGAGAAACCACATACAAGAGAAAAAGAAGATAAAGGTTCTGGTTAATCTTTAGCTCTTTTTTCCCTTTGTATTGAGAACCAGTACAGGATTTATTCTTCCCAAAGGAATTTTTAGTGAACAATTAAGAACTTTGAGAAAAACAGTAAAGCAAGGCAATGGAAGATGAAATGAGATAGTCTTTTTCCCTCTAACTTTCAGATGGCATTTGCTGATGAGTGATCTGGTGTCTACAGAAAAAGTTGAGCTCTTCAGAGGAAGGAATAACCTTAATATCTTTTTAACTTAAAATCAATGCAGAAAAATGTCTAGAGAGAAGAATGTCAGCTCTACTTTTTGGTGTCACTTGAATAGCTGTAAGAGAAACAGACTAAAGGCACAGCTTAATCAAAGTGTTTTATGTGGTTAATATACAGTTAAGAAATGAGGTCATAAAGTGAATTTTGGAAACAGAAAGTAGGACAGTTAATCTTTCATACTGCTGAATAAGCCTTTTTGTGTGCGTGTCTATTTGGTACTTCAGTGCCAGTTGTTATCCGTAAACTTAGCTGATGTAGAAGACCATTGCAGTATTCTTTGAACTTTAAAGGAAAGATTCTTCTTGCACTTTTAGTGGTTAATTTCATGTTGTTTAATATGTAAATAAGAAACCATTTTGGTTTCACAAACAAATTCTTATAATTCATTGTTTGTGTGCATCTTTATGTACAAATCTCAAATATTTAAAGGATTTGGATTTACTGTTTTTGCTGGTGACATTTAAGTAATTTTCAAACAATATAAATTATGTTGAGTAGCAGCAAACCCCACATCTGTTGTTTAGGACACTAGACTGGATTAATTTTTCCTAAACAGAGGTTGTTAATAATAAGTTATACTTTTTATTAAAGTAGTATTTTTTTATGCTGCTGCTGACTTTTTTTTTTAATGGCAAAGAACACTTGTAGAAATGTCAAATAGAACATGTAAAAACTATGCATGTCTATTGATGTTACAGACTTTTGCCATATTCAGGAATTATGTTTTAAACACTTGTCCCTCAGTGGCTTTCTCTGAAACTGTGGGTTTTGAAGCTTATTTCAAAAGCCTCCCCCACTGCTCACCTCTTCTGTGTGTAGTGTACACCATTAATTTAGTAGGTGCTGTGCTAAAGCTATTTGTAGTTTTAGGCTTGTTTGAAATTTAGGCTCACATTAAATACTTGCACTGAATATGGCTCTTCTGGTAACTAGTAGTTTAAACAAATTTTAACTGCTCTGAAAAAAGTGAATGGGGTAGAGAATATCTTGATGTCTGTTTCTAGGTGTGTTTCATTCTTAAGCACTCCAAAAGTCACGAGCAAGAAATTTTTTACTGATAGCATATTTTTCAGAATTAAAATGCATTTCAGATTTTTGCCTTTTCAGTGACTGAACAGTTTTGCAGTGAAAAAAAATGAAAGAATGAGGAAATATACTCTACAGTTGTTAATGGTTAGTGGCCTTCATGTTTTCATCTTGGTTAATGAAAGTATGTGAAAAATCTTTGTTTATCCAAACATTATTAGAGAATATTCATGTCTTTCCTTGGCTGTGAAACAGACCTGATCCCATCATTGTGATGTTTCATTATAGTGCTGTAATAATGAGTCCATAAGTACAAATAAGGAAAAACTTCCATTTTAAGCAAGTTTTTCCATACCTTTTGATCCATCAGATCCTTAATGTCTTTCTAAAAAGCGATCCCATGACCTAGTTCTTGTGTACTGTTTCTCTACATTTAAATTAAAGTTTTCAGGAAACTTGACAACTATGTAGTCTAGTTTTGAGCTTGAGGAGTCTTTTGGTTACATATATTAAATATTCCATCTGCAAAGCAGTGGAAGAAATTTAAGCCGCAAGTGCTGATCTATATACACAGTGAGCATGTAGTCTGGATAATTGTAAAGCCATTTTCTAACAGCACTTCAATGGGCAGAAAAAAACCCTTTCAGATTAATTGTCCTGTGGCTAGGTCAGTTAACATCATAACAGCATGAAGGATGTATTGGTTTGACCAAGGCTTCAGTTTCACAAGCAGCTAGGTCAATGTAATGTACCCTGACTATTTCTGAAAAGGTAGAGGGCTTGCTGCCTTCTCCTTTTTCACCCCCTCTTCCCTGGCCACACAGTTCCTCTGGTGTTTATCAAACTGTTTCATGGATGGGTTCAACTTAATAACCCCGCACAAAGCTCTCTGCTTCTTTTTCAGGATTAATCTTTTGCCAAATTGGTGAGGTGAATTGCCTTGTGGTGGAAACGTCCAGCCACCAAAGCTAGGGCGAGGTGAGCAGCAGGACTTCTGGGAATGGATGTCATGAACAGAGCCAGACCTCTCCAGTTTGGTGACCACAGGCTGTTAGATACACTCACGCTGTAACCTGGTGCAACAAAACACAGGCTGTTGTAACTCTGCACGCATTTATCTGAGCAGTAACATGAGACCATGAAAGGTTTCCTGTTGGAACTGCCATTTCTTGAGTTAAACATTGCTGTTAATAAGGATCTATGTTTATTGGAAAATGCTTTCTGTGTGTTCCTGATTTGCAACACAGCTAAGAGTTTTATCTTCTGGTTTTTAAGTTAAAGCAGCCTCTCTTGTGACGAAATACAATCTAGTGTACGTTCTAAATACAGGAAGAATTATATTCACCGTACTCATGGTGGTTTTGTTGTGTGACTGGCTTGAATCTGAAGTATTCAAAAACAGTCAATTATCTGTGCCAATGTGCTATAATTCATGGTTCTCACAGAAGAGTAAGAGACATTCCTAAAATTCTGAGAAAGCAGTGATTATGTTCTGATAATTTCAACTGTAGGTACCTTTTTTCTTCTTTTCCTAAATCTAGACACAGAAGATAACTAGAAATAAACCAAGGAACTTTCCAGTACTAACTACAGCAAAATGGAGGTGTTATGGATGTACACAAAGTTGTTTAGAATATTAATATAATATTGTTAATATCTATACTAAGGAAGTTGACAAAAATTATGTTTCAGGTGAGAGAAACCAGACAACCTTTTTGTGAGATGAAAATTTATGAGATTAGCATTTATATCTACTGTCTCCCTTAGACTTTTCTAAATACCATCTCAAGAATTTTCGTGTTACTATTTTGAGTGCCTGAGGGCAGTAGCTGGTGTACCACTGACTCCCCTTACTCCTAGTTTCTTAGCACCTTAATATATTACTTCTTATTGTATGCAGGGCCATATCCTTTCTCTACAGGGATGTGTTCAAACATGTTGCCATTGTGTTGTAACCTAATGATTTACATATCTCATAATGTTTCTAGGTAATTCGGCTGGGGGCCACCCCTGTTAGCCTGAGCTTCCTCTCTGTCCAGGTTTATGCTTCTTCTTCAGAGAAGGAGACTTCCAAAAAGGACTTGCTGAAAGTTGAGGAGGTAAGTATGGTAGTAACCTACCAGGTAGTAACCTAGTGCTTTTCTATCTATATGGAAATATCTGCAGATTTCTGAAAGACATTGTATTTTGATGTGTGAAAGCATCTCTCTTCACCGTTTATATTCTTGCCTTTCAACTTGCTTCTCAGTTTTCAGTATTCGAGGTGGTGATGTTGTTTTGCTTCTTTTACCTGAGGGTTGCATTTGGTACCCTCCGCTTGATAGCGTCAGGCTTGCTTGTGTGCAAGGTATTTTTCATACACTAAAGCCTTCTGTTCTTAATTTAAAAATTACTTTCTTATGTTTATAATCTTACTTGTGGTCATATTTCAAATCCATAGGAATATTTTCTTTGCTTTCTATCCAGGTAACTATGTGTATTTTTTATCACAAGTACCATTGGCAAATTCTAAGAAAATTTCTTTTATGTTCTCTAGTAATACAGCAAATCAGAAATGTGGGGTTTTTTTCTAAAATTACAGTAATTCTCATTTTTACAGGCAAAATTCTTGTATGGCAATGCTTTGAAGCTGATATTTTAGCCTACAGAATTGTATCAGTTTTCCTTTCTTTACAGCATTCAGACCTAAGCAATATAATAAGCAGTGGTAATAAAAACCTGTTACTATATTGTTTCTGTAAGATGCTACAGGTTTTTTTGTTATATCACAAGTGGAACTTTAAAATACCCCTTCAAAGGGTAGACTCGCCAGCATTGTTGTTCATGCTTTTAAAAGTCTCCAACATAAAAAAAATATTGCAGTTTGTAACTAAAACCAGCTTTGTATCCATGAGAATTTGTAGTTGTTCAAAAATTGTGGATACTTCAAGCCAAGGTATAGTGTTGTAACATGAGAGTGAAGCTAAATACAACTTAGTTTTGTGTATACATGTCTTCTTTTTTTTTGGTGCATTTGCATGGGCAGTTTGCTTGCATAACATGAGAGGATCAATAGTCGAAGCAATCCCCTGGCTTCACCCCAGTGAAGTAATCTTAGCTGTCGCATGCCCTATACCACTGCTGGCATGAGTCAGGAATTAGGCAGCTTTAAGTTGCATATGAGCTGAATTAATTGGCTTGCCCATCAGCTTCAGCAAAGCAGAATGTGTAAGCTGCTTTGTTTTGGCTGCTTTATTTAGCAGTCACAGGGTATGTTTGTTTGGGTATCTACAGTCAGCTGTCTAGTTTCATAAAATATATGGAAATATCCTTATCTTTGAGACTTCTGTCCTTGTCCAAGCTATGACTATTAGGTTGTCTAACAGGATCTAAGTTAAACTGATTGTGACTATGATTCCCAGAGATGACTGGATTTCCTAGGGAAGTGAGACCTGAAATACTTGTCTTTTAAAGTATTATGGGAAGTCCTGCTGCATGAGTTATTTAAGTATTCAACAGTTTCTGTGTCATGTATTTTGTTATGGTTAGCAGTTTTTTTTATTATGATGTTATTATGCAGTTGTTTTCCAACTTATCTTGAGAAGAGGGCTAGCTCCACTTCTGTACAACAGTATGGGTAAATATCTGTTTACTATAAATTACTACATGTAGGATAAATGGCCTATAAAATAAAAGCTCTTCATGCTAAACATCAGTGTAGTATATAAATGCTAGGAATTTTCAGAAGTTTTGTTTTGAGCTGATCTTTACTGTTCATCTTCAACAGGATAGGCTTTGGTCTTTTTTTGTTACTGGAATACAATTTTAACTATGTTTAGGTAATTCTAATAAATACATTGTGTTGCTAAATACAGTGGAATTTATCATGTGAAGATGCCCATTGCTCTTCAGGTGGATGGTACAGTTCCTACTTGCTAGGCCTCATGGTGCTATTAGTGCTGTCAGTTGCTGATGTGGTTAATGACAGCAGCATTGGGATGTGGTACCATCTTCCTGCTTAGTAACAAACAGACAAGTTTATGTCAGTTGTTAACTTTGTTAGAAGCTACTTAGACTCTTTAATGATGGCTTATGCAAATACAGAGAATGATCGATTGTGATTTCAGAGTTCTAGTACATCTAGTATATTAACTGGGAGCCAAAAGGGCTGATTAAGACAAGAAACATTTCTCACAATGATGATTTGTGTTCTTATTAAACTACTTTAATAATTAATTTATAACCTGTGACTTGGATCATACAGCAGCTATGGATGAATTGTGCAGCAATTAGAAGTCATCTTCATCATAGTATATAATTAAACTTTGCTCATAATGGTTGTCTCACAGCCATGCCTGAATTTTTATTATGCATTGTTTATGTAGTAGACACTGTGCTAGGTGTTCTCTGGTTAGTCTGTTCATGCCCTGAAGACCTACTTACACAATTACAGCTTTGTTTTTAATGTCTTGTTTGCTAATATTCACAGCTGTCACTCTACTCCTCTCCAGCTCAGGAGACTAAATATGTGGAGAATCCAAAAACCGAATTGGAAGAGGGGGTTTCACATTTACGGCATGTTATGGAGCCATATACAGCCTGGTGTCAGGTATAATGGTTTTATATCACATCTGGTAGTGGTTCAGTGGTAAGTCTTGAGCTGGGATTTTGTTTTTAGACACAGAATCAATAGATAGCAGCAAAGTAAAAGTTAGTAGCTGTACAGTTTTCTAAAGTCCTGTGTGACTTAGAATTTTCTACAGCTCAAGTCATAATGTTTACCTCTTCCTCATACAAAACCAGTTGTTTCTTTCTGCTAATTTGCTGAACTTAACTCCTTGTTTTCCACGCTTCTTATCTGTCCAAAAGAATTGAAGAAAATTAACTAAAGCTTAGAATTATTATTTGAAATAATCTTTAAGCTTAAAGGTATCTAGGGATATCTGGATTTGGTACTGTCTTGGAACTAAGGAAGACCAGGAGAGTGATTACATTTACATTTTCCACACTCAAGGAGAATGCTATAAATTATTAAGCAGTGTGTTCTGGAGCAGCAGTGCTGAGTTGCCCTCACTGCAACTGTGACACAACACAACTCTTCAGAAAATAAACCAGTATTTTCTGAACTGGAATCTCGAGGAGAAGGAATATGGCTCTCCAGAAGAGAGAGAATCTCAGGCCACTTCTCAGTGGCAAACCTGACACCCAGACTTTACCCCAGCACTTTATAATTTATTAGGTAGCATGTTTATACTAAACAGCCATTAAATACAAGAATTGTCTTTAGAGGATAGAGGAGAACCAAGATATTTGTAATCAAGGCCTAAATTGTCTGTATTAGACTGGAGTAATATGATGGCTTTCTTACTCTTTCTTGAGCAATGCTGAGGCTTAATTTGAAGCAAGGGCATCCTTGTCATCTGGTTGCCTCTCTTGGCAGCTTTAGGTGATCCTCTACTTTGCTCTCTGGCTGTTCTGAATCCTCTTAAGCTGCAAGCTGTTCTTCCAGTTCTCTGTAGAAAGAAAGCTAAGCTGTTGAGATCAGTGTGTCCTTTCTGCTTAAAAGTTCTGTGCTGTGATACTAAGCTTTAACAATACAGAAACGTTTTCTTCAGAAATACTCAGGGTTAGTCAGTCTAATGTTGTGTTTCTAAAGTGAAACCAGCAGGAGTACTGACTATGGTTTTGAAGAAGGGGGATTTTTTTATAGTATAGTTAGCGCTCTGAACTCCAAAATACATGGATTCTCTTTGCCTGTGGGAACTAACTATAAATGAAATTTGATATGAGGTTCATTGCCCAGTTGGACTGACTGTAGGCCTTGAACAATGCTTTATGTCTCATTGGCCTGTTGTTGTCTTATTTCCTGTATATTTTTTTGTCTGTGTGGTGATCATTTACATAAGATGTGCTTCTCTGCTCACACACAACAAGCCATTTCCTGGCAGTGGTTTACTGACTCATTTTATGAAGCAGAGTTATAAAATTTATGAGTTTTGGGTCATCTTGCTTGTTTAACTGCAGTCAGAGATAGTTTTGGTTCCCCCACTTTGTTAAAGAATATTACATTTTAGTTGTCTTTCAATTATCTTTAAAATTAAAGCATAACCCAGGATAATGAAAATAAAATTGATTACATTCATATAAGCATTTTACTTTTTTAAAATTGCTTGCTTAACTGTAATGGAGTGTTAGTTCAAAACACAACTGCAGAAATGAGCCAATTATGCGTGGACTACAATAGAAGATTGGACTTAGCCTCTGGGGTCTTTAGAGCATGTTCTTTTTTCTTTGGCTTTTAATAAGACCAACATCTATTTAGAGTTATGTTCTGTATTGCATGCTAATGTTTTTTTTCATTACAAGTGTTGGTTTTTTAAGTCACTTTTTCCAGTTAGTGAAAATTCCAGATATATGCCCCATGCAGTCTCCTAAACAAATGCTTTCACTTGTGCACAGATAACAGCTCAGGTGGTGTTGTGAGACTATTCTCTGCTTTAGTTTGGGACATACATATTTATGAATTTGTTCCCTAATTGAGAAGCAGTCTTACACTGCCTGCCCAAAGGATTATTAGCATAATAACAATTAGCAGGGTTGCTTTTATTGAGATCTTTTTTTTCTACTTTGTTAGAAGGCAGTGTGAGTTCTTTCTGCATATTTTCAGTCTGAGAAGAGAATCTAGAACTGGTTTGTGGGGTTGATGCAGTGCTTTTTGATAATTTACTTTGGACATTGTGTGGACTTCTCATTTTCCCAGTCACTTTAAAAAATGCAATTTTCTTAGCCTAAGATAGTGTCTTGGGAAGTAGAATTTTACCATCTTGCAGAAGGAGTCATGAAACTGAAACCTGAGATAATCTTGAGTTTCAGCTGCCTGATCAGGAACTCATTGAAATATTGGTGGTTTTGAGGTATTATATTTAATCTATTCCCAAATACTACTTTGAGAAAAAGCTGCACATGATGCCAGATGTAATGTTGAGCAAGCATAGCCCTTTAAGTGAAGGGTAGAAGTAGAAAAAAGGAGTTAATTTTAGGGAGCCAGTGCTTTTTTTTTTTGCTTTTTTTTTTTTCTTCCACAAGTCAGTCACAATCTGTAGTTAATATTTTACTTACATAGTATCTATTTACTGTTGTTTTCCTTTCTTTTTTTTTTTTTTTAGGACCTTTATGCCAAAGCTATGCCCAAATTAGAAAAAGCTGTTGAGCATGGTAGAGGTAAATCAGTTTAGTTTTCTTAAATAGCAGTTTAAAATGCAGGACTGTGCTGTATCTTCTGTTTAACGGCCAACAGTGTATGTGTATAATTTTTAATGCGTTTGATACTACTTTATTTTTACTCTGTATCTGTTTAAATTTCCTTTGTATGTCATTATGACACTACATTTGTAAACAATTAAAAGCTGCGACCTGTGTCTATATCGACCATTGTCACAAAAAATAACAGTTATGCACTAAAAGAATGAAAAATCCCCTCACAATTTATTCCCAGCCAGCCTTATTTGCTTGATTCAGCCTAGTAACTGAAGCTTCCTGCAGTGTGTATTACTCGTTGCAAGTGTTAGACCTTTTGTTTGCAATGTTTAACCATTTCATTTTGATGTACTTCCTTGAATCTCGGAATAATTTTTAATTAATCCAAAATAAATGGTATTTATTTTTGTTTTGGAAGCATCCTTTCATACTTAGGCTCATCAGGACTGAGCACAGCTGCTATCTAGAGCTCATTTCAGATACTGTACCTCTTTCCCATAAACTTAACAGTCTCAGTCCTTTGAACTACTTTGTATGGAATGTTGTTTCATAGTTTTCCATTCCCCCATCAGACTCCCATCTTAGAGTGAGCTTTGTTTATGTTGTGTCTTTCCTTTGTTCTGTGATTTGTTTTTTGTACAGTGTTTTACTGAAACTAATTCTTGTTAACATGTAAATGTAAGAAACCATTTTGCAAAGGTTTTTACTGCTCATTTAAAAACACAAAATTGAGATGCAAAACAAGACAGATGGCTCAGGACCAAAGGCAAAAGCTTATATGAAAGTTGGTAAATACAATACAATGTTCAGTTTCATTCATGTGTTACCAGAGATCTCAAAGGCTTTGAATTTTATGCCAGCAGATCTAAAATATGCATGATAGTTAAATGTGTTTTGATAACTCTTATGTTTTGTAACAATTGCCAGCATGTAATGATGATTCCTTATCACAAAAATACTTTCACATTACATAAAAGCACTTTGTTCTGACTTATTTTCAGAGGGCTATGAATTTCTCCAAAACCCCCCTGCTGGATTTTATCCAAGGCTTGGTGTAATAGGTTTTGCTGGAATTGTTGGGTTGTTTCTTGCTAGAGGTAAGTGGGGACATTTTGAGCTGCATATACTATGATTTGGGATAAATAATTTATTTGTAGGCTTTTGGATATTAATTTTTAATTGTGATGCATGAGATATGATTTAACTGTACAAGCATGTTTCTGCTATTTTCGTCCAATTATAAAGAGATTCATGTAAAAGGTGTGCAGTAACCTTAAATTATTGTTTATGAATACTGTAACTGTTACTGGAACACAACCTTTGATCTTTTCCAGTTCTAGCTTGTTATAGAAGAAGTAGGAAAGGATTTTTTCTTTTTTAGCCTAAAAAGCTCTAGATCCCATATACCAATATAGAAAACTAGAAGGGTACAAACTACAGTAAAACACAGACATTCTTGAACTATGATAATATACAGTAAGTTGTATATTCAAGTTCAAGTATTGTGTGTCCAGGCAGAGAGCTGCTGCAGATGGTGAGATTCAGCAAAAATACTTGTCAATGCTGGGTATACTATAAATACATGCACATTTTGTGCTATAGGAATGTGATACAATAAATTTAATCATGCTGGTTGAAGAAACTAATATATTAATGCTTTCATAGAATTACATTTTATTTTAAGAAATGTTAATTGTGAAAAGTAATTTGTGCTTGTATTGAGATAGTGCAGTGAAATGAAATAATGCAAGAAGAAAACTTGTAGGCAATGGAACTGTAAAGTTTTAGAACTTAAATACTAGTGATGACTTGTTTTGGATAAAAATACTCCTTTGTGAGGCTTTTATCTTTTGAACAAATGAAGTGTGTGCTTGGCTATGAGGAAATAGAAAGCATTCCGTGAATATGTACAGTTATACATGCACTCCTCAAAATACTTAATTTTCTTTTTTTCTCCTAATTTTTTAGATTTTAAAATCAAGGCCTTCAGCTTTACCCATTTGAAGTACTTTATCTTCAGATTTATGCCTCTTGATTTATATGATTGTGAATGAGATCAGTTTCCAGCCTTTATGACTGTTAGCAGATTTGGGGTTCCAGGGGGATAGTGCAGTCTTGGGGCTGGATCTGAAGGATTAGAGGGTTGTAAGTTAATAAAAATAAAAATCTCTCATAATAGAAATGTCTGATTTGTGAATCTTTGAGGATGGGGGCCAGAGTTTGTAAACTTTTTGTCTTGTTATAATTTACAATACTTTCTGGAAATAACAGTCAGTATTCAAACTGTAGAAGGAAGTGCCCCTTGATTTTGATGGTACAAAAGCTGGCACCTAATTTCCTCTGTTTTTAACGCATTCCCGCTTGGTATCACTGGAAGAATTGCCCCCTTGGAAGAAAAAGATAAAATCTTCCAGGTCTAACTATACCACTTGAAGATAAAGCTGCCCAATGAGTAGGAAATATGGTATTCAGAATTTAATTGTGTGAATATTGCAGAGTCATCCAGCTTGGTTTAAAATGCTGTTGAAGATCAGTTGTTCCAGCTGTGTTCAGTAGTAGTGGAATGGATACAGGATTGTTAAACTTGCTTCTAATGGGTATCTCCAGCAGGTAGCAGCCTGCTGCAAGGCATTAATATCTTCAACTATTACATTTATTTCTGCAGTGATGTTGTAGGCATACTGATAAGCTATCACAAAGGAAATTTCCCCATTCCCAGGATGGGAACAACAAAAGAATAATTTTTCGGGTTGTAGAAATGCAATGAAATTTGCCTTTTCTATGCTTTCTTAGAGCTAATTGGTACCTAATTCCCTCTGCATGAGAATACCCACATCACTTAATGAATGTCTCTTGTTCACTGCTGAGTTTCTCATCATGAACGTATATTACTGGAAAAAGTGTTACATTCAAATATGCATTCCCTCTTCAAAATCTGTTACTCTTTTATTAGAAGCACATGTGGCTTCACATATAGAACAGGCTGTTCTATGAGGAACAAAACTACTGCATCCTGACTCCTGTACGTCTCTTCTATGACTTTTTTCTCCTGTTCTGCTTGTTTTTTCTCCTGTACTTTCTCCCTTCTGTTGTTCCTTTCTGACTGGATAAACTGCAGCATGCCCTGTAACTGATTTGGTGATGCATATTGTCACTGGCCAGCCAGGACACACAACGTGTGGCCAGCTATGACAAGAGGATGAACTCTTCAGGCAGTTATTTTAGACTTGTATAATTGAATAGAGTTCAAATTGATTAAAATGTTCAAAATTTACTTGAGGATTGAGCAATAGGCCTATAGTATAATCTTAAGTACTTTAGTTTAAAAGTACTTTAAAATACTTGGCAAATTGCCAAGTGAATAAAGAAAAAATACTCACAAGAGCAGCTGTAGGAGCATCAGTATGTGTGAGTCAAGGTAACTTAGTGAACTTTGTGTTGGAATGTCTGTTGTTCTGCTTGATGTATCGAAGAATACTATCCTAACCTTTTTTTGCCTAAATTTTCCTTTTAGTTTAGAAAAGAGTATCAATTGGTATAATTCTTCTAGCTGTGGCTTTTACTTCATTATTCAGTACTGAAATAAATTGTGTATTACTGCAGTAAATATAATTGTAATGTAATTTGCACTATGTGGAAACATGTTAATAGACATATTCTCTTTAGAAGGTTCAAAGAATAATTGCTGATCAGAGTAACCACATTTCTTAAGAAACTACTAGAACTGAACAGAAAAATATGCTGAACTGTCTTTAATTAAATTGTTTTGCTTATAAGTAAAAGGGTAGGGCCATTCAGCTATCTTGGTTACTGTATAATCTAACAGTGTTTTTTGTGGTTTGTGTTTTTTTATTGTTATGAAACAGGCTCAAAAATAAAGAAGTTAGTGTATCCTGCAGGTCTCATGAGTATTGGTGCCTCCATGTATTACCCTCAGCAAGTGGTTGCTATTGCACAGGTCAGTGCTGATAACTTTTTTTGAAGAAGTTTTAAAAGCCATGTCAGTGTCCTTGGCACTTAGCAAAATGATACTTGTTTAGTCAAAGAGCATGCAGTCTAGGCTGGAAGATGGGCAGATAGTCTACTTGCTTTAGTGACTTTTTCTAACATCTGCAGTAGCGTCTTCAATTTGAGGAACATAATTTCCTTTCTGAATCTCTAACCTCAAGCAATTAAAAATTAACATAAGTATGCTTAATAAGTGCAATTTGCATGTTTACTTACAATACCATACAATACCAAGGAATCCTAAAATGTCTTGAGGACAAATGAAAGCAGAGCTGGAAAGAAGGAAGAAAAAAAAAAAAGATCAGTTTCTATGGAGAAATCATAGGAACAATATTTTGAGATAAGCAAATGGAATGGAGTAAAAAGTCTGCTGCTTATTGGTTGCCTTTACTGCTTATGCATTTGTTGCTTCATAAGAAAAATGTTAACTTGCAGTTACTTACATGGATTTCCTGTGAAAGAAAGAACTGAATAGACCAGACTATTGCTTGCAGCCCCTGCTGATGTCAGTTCATATGTCTTGCTGCCCACACTTAATTGTACTGGCAGATTCCTCAGTTCTCCACCACATTATTTTTCAAATCCATCTTTTAGCCACTCATTGTACACATATTTTAGTGTGTCAGAAATAGTTCATATTTCAGGCTTTGGTAAATTTGCTACCGAAGTATTGGTGACTTGTGAATTGCTGAGATGTCAGAATGAAAATATGGTCTTCTCAAGAACATAAGAAAGGTCGTTGCCTTAAAGAGAGTCAGCAATGCTATGTTTGAACTCTGCCAGCGTAGTGATGCCCTTATCTTTGATGGAATCTTTTTTTAGCACTCCTAGGATTCAGATGCTCTAAATACATAAAATTCTGTTGACATAGTCTGATGGAGTGAAAATTATGAAAGTGACAAGAAAAAAAGCATCAAAATTGAAGCAGCTTAGACATATTCTGTTGCTAACTGTGTATTGAAATTCTAATTGCCTTCTGAACACTGAAGTGGGAAGTGATTGAATGGTGTTCCAACTGATACTGTTTTTAAAGAAGCTCAACTGAATTTGTTATTAACAGCTTCACAATACCTTGTTTATTTTATAAAAACTTGGAAGTGCATGATTGCTCTTTGATTAATTCACAGTTCTTAGTTTGACTGTAACAAAAAAACTTGATATGAGACCATGAGCTCGAAATTGATTGGAATAGGTTTAGCTTTGTTGACTTTGTCAGGACACTAGACATACGAGTTTGAAAACTACTGTGGAGAAAGTGATATCCCAGATACTGTTTTTCTTCTTCTAATACCTCTTGTGTTTTTCTTTTCTTAAAGAATCAAAGCTTTAAGTATATCAGATCTGACTGTCCATAATTTTTATGCTTTAATCTGAAATTGAAAGTGCTTTGCTCTGTAGTAATTGTTTTGAAATGTTTTGTGGGCCTTTAAAAAAATCTCTGTAATCCTAGGAAGGGATGCTGCCAGTAGAAAGCTCACTTGCCCATTAGTAGAAGAGTATAGGGTAAACTTTCAGAATTGACCATACTTTTAAAAAGCTTTGGATGTGTTGGGCTTTTTGCTTCCCACCTTCATTAAAGTCTTGCCATTGGAGAGCTAGAAGGAAACACAGCCAAATATATTTGCTGTTGAGGTGCAACACTTGTTGCATCTGTCAGGAAGAAAACTTTAATTAAAATGTATGAATTGCTAAGTGAAGTTATAGCAACAGAGTTGATAATTGGTAAAAGGTAGTTTTCAGACACTTAATCTAACTGGAGATAGAAGAAATCTTAGAATCATAGAATGGTTAAGGTTGGAAGGGACCTCGAAGACCATCAGGTTCCAACCTCCCTGCTGTGAGCAGGGCCACCTCCCTCTAGACCAGGCCACACAAGCCTCATCCAACCTGGCCTTAAACACCTCCAGGGAGGGGGCACCCACAGCCTCCCTGGGCAACCTATTCCAGTGCCTTCCTACCCTCATGGTGAAGAATTTCTTTCTGATGTCTAACCTAAATACACAGACTAACTATTTTGCCTGCTTTAGTAGTCATTCTAATAAATCACAAATCTGTAAGGCATTTATTTCCTCACTGCTAATATTACTTTAATTTGTATAACTGAACAAGTGGTCAGACCATATGTGTAGTAAGGGAACTGAATTTAATACTGAAGTTTATTTTGTTCTGCTGGAATCTTGTGTTTTGGAACTGCATTGCTTTCCAGCTAATCCTAATACATTTTTTTTGTCTTTTCTGTGGCTTATCTTCCATGTGGAAAAAACTTAGTTACTTAAATCAGTGTATTTTTCATTAATTTTTGTTCCTTGTGATTAGGACTTTTCAAATTTCCTAAAGTGGTGTGTGTTATGCTTTTCTTCTTCTTGATAGAAAATCTTCCTAGTATAAGTTGATTTCTTTGACAACAAACTAAATTATTTCTAAGTCTTTTAAACCTATGCCTCATCCCTTGCCCAGTTTAGTCCCTAAGGCATAAATAGTTGTGCTGGCACAACTGAGAGTATGACACAATTACAGGAATGGTGGGTTGGAATGAAGGAACTGAGGTCACTTGATCCATGTTTGCTGCAGAATGAAATGCCTGGGAAATTGCACTACGACCATTTTGTTAAAAATACCAATGTACAAAAGCCAGCAGATTCTTGGTTCAGTTTCTCAGTGTGAGATGTAGATAAATAATTGCTAACCATAATTCTGCTCAGTAATCTTTGCTTACACAGTATAGCCACTATTACATGCTTATGGTCCTGTGCGGAATTGAAATATGGGAGCTTGATTACATGCACATTAGGCCTTATGAGACTGCTGATGCTACCCCAGTAGCACCTAGTATGGGTGTTGGTGGCCCAAGGTCACTTGCAAACTATTTCAGAGCCCCTGCTGAGGACCACTTGGTCTGACTTTCAATCTTGTTTCTTCAAATTTTAGCATGTAAACTTACAGCGTTGCATTGAACAGAGATGCTATTTTAGCACATTGTAATTCATAGAATCATCATCAAGGTTGGAAAAGACCTTCAAGATCATCAAGTCCAGCCATCCACCCTACAACCCCTAACCAGTAAACCATCTCCTGAAATGCCATAGAATCATTAAGGTTGGAAGGGACCTTAAAAATCATCAATTTCCAACCCCCCTGCTGTGAGCAAGGAACCCTACCACTAGACCAGATTGCACAAACCCTCGTCCAACCTGGCCTTAAAAAACCTCCAGGGATGGGGCATCAACAGCCTCCCTGGACAATCCATTCCAGTTCTTTACCACCCTTATAGTGAAGAATTTCTGCCTAATATTTAACCTAAATCTCCCCTCTCTCAGTTTAAAACCATTACGCCTTGTCCTATCACTATCTTCTCTGACGAAAAGTCCCTCCCCAGCTTTCTTGTAGGCCCCTTTCAAGTACTGAAAGGAGCTATAGGGTCCCCCCAGAGCCTTCTCTTCTCTTGGCTGAACAGCCCCAACTCTTTCAGCCTGTCTTCATAGCAGAGGTGCTCCAGGCCTTTGATCATCTTGGTGGCCCTTCTCTGGACCCTCTCCAACAGGTCTGTATCTTTCTTGTGCTGAGGGTACCAGAACTGTACACAGTATTCCAGGTGGGGTCTCACCAGAGCAGAGTAGAGCCCTGCTGGCCACAGTTCTTTTGATGTAGCCCAGGATGTGTTTGGCTCTCTGGGCTCCAGCACACACTGGTGGCTCATGTTGAGCTTCTCTTCTGCTACCACCCCCAAGTCCTTTTCCTCACGACTACTCATAATCCATTCTCCCCCCAGCCTGTATTTGTGCCTGGGATTGTGCTGATCCAGGTGCAGGACGTTGCTCTTGCCCTTGTTGAACTTCATGAGATTGGCACTGGCCCACCTCTCGAGCCTGCCAAGGTCCCTCTGGATGGCATCCCTTCCCTCTAGGGTGACAACCACACCACACAGCTTGGTATCATCAGCAGACTTGCTCAGAATACACTCAATCCCACTGTCCATGTCTTCAACAAAGATGTTAAACAGCACTGGTCCCAACACTGACCCCTGAGGGACACCGCTCGTCACCTGCCTCTATTTGGACATTGAGCCATTGACCACAACTCTCTGGGTGCAGCCATCCAGCCAGTCCTTATCCACCGAGTGGTCCATCTGTCAAATCTGTGCCTTGTCAGTTTGGAGACCAGTGCTGTTTAACAGCATCAGCCTGTTTTTTTAACACCTACAGGGACAGTGTCTGTACCACCTCCCTGGGCAAATTTTTAATTTTTGCCCTGCCAGCGGTTTGGCAGCAGGCAGGTAGCCCTGGTGCAGGTGCCACCTCCTGTTCAAGCCAGCCACAGGCTGCACACACCATCTAAGGTAAGGCAGAAGGGACAGGGAGTAAGTGCTATGGAGGGTATGCAAGCTGGAAATTATCCTCCAGAAATTAAGAGATCCAGATGAATGGAAAAACTTGTTCCTCTTTGAAAGGAACTCTTTGTATGAATGTTGGAATGAACACTTTGAACAATTGAAGGAACTGTTTGTATTATGATTGTTGCTTTAACTTTTCGTATTTGGAACTGCTACTCCCAAGAGTAGTGGTGGCAACTGCAATACCCACCTGCTTGCTCTTCAACTGCTTTGTGAGAACGAGACGTATAAAACACCAGCCTAATGCGTGACTCTAGTGTTGTGTTCATGAGAAGATGCATTGGGTGGTTATAAAAAAATCTTGGCTATGTTCCTGTTGACCCTGTAACTTGCAGCTTGCAGTCTCTCTAGAGCTGTATTTTGTAATGTGAAATGTGAATGTGTGCGTGGGTCCCAGCTCCTGGGAGGTGTGTACAGGGTTGAAACACTGGATTAATGTGGCAGACTATCTGGATTGCTGTACCTTGTGATGTAGCTACTTCACTCCAGCAACACGAATGACCAGTTTCTCATTCAGTGCAGTTGATAATTTTCTTGGTTGTGTGACTTCTATAATAAGTATATTTTTAAGTTTGTACTTTTAGGTATTGGGAGTGTTTTAAAGTATTTTAAAGGAGTGTTTCTGAAGTAGGAATAAGGAATTACTTATATTGTTTCTCATTTTATGTTGATAACTGTGTCGTCAGTAATACTGCAGACAGAAGAACTCCTCTGTGTATTGTGGTTAGTCTTCAGTACTGGTAGGTTTGTACTGCTTACACAGCTGATCACACTATCTTTCCAGATAAGCCATAGCCAAAGTTCCACTGATTTTCAGAACTACTTTGTTGAAGTGCTTAATAGTGAACACTCCTTATACTGAAAAAGAAGAAAACTGTTTATATCTGCAATGGTTGAACTGAGGGATTTTTGAGATATAACACACTGATCCCCAAAACAGCTTGTTTCTGATTACGTTTATTGCCTTCAAATCTAGGGAGAACTCAGTGCATCATACTGACTTGTTTAAAACCAAAGTACAACTATATTTGTCAGATGTTGTGACAAATATTCTAGGTCTTTGTATTTAACACAGCCTATATTTTAGATTTAGTTGTGACTCAGAAATGTAGTTGCTAATTTGAGTTTGTTTTCTCTTAATTCTAATTATTAAGTACTTCTGTGAAGTATTCACACAATCTTTGCCCAGAAGCACATGCCTTACCATTGTGGTACGTAATTGGTGTAGTTAATTTTGTTCAGACAAACAAAGGGAAGTGCTTCTGTGGACCATGTGTGCCCAGTGGTAGAGCTCTTTGGCACAGGGTGTTGCGGATGCTGAAAATGTATGTGAGGTTCAAGGGGAAGTGCAATGAGGTCATAGGAGGGGAAATTACTTTGGCATTGGTTATACACTTAGAATCTGGCTTGGGAAATCTGTGAGCAGCATATTGTTAGAGACTAGAAGAAACTAAAATTTCATGCAGAAACTGTTTCAAAAACATCAGAAAACTGCTTCAGAAATATTATTTATGCTTGCTCTATTCTAATAGTTTTATTTTCCAGCTTTGCCTGGGTGATACCTTCTTATTTCTTAATTTATTTTTCTTTTTAGTTTAATAGCTGTCTATTTGGGCAGGTTGTCCATTTTTACTATCCTCTATTTGCAAGAAAACTGATGATAGGAAAGTGAGTACTGACCTGAGACTAAAGCGTTAAAAAACCTAACGTTCTTCAGTTTTAAAGGCTGCTATGAATAATACAGTTCCATATCATGTAAGGGGCAGGAGAGTCTTTTATTAGACTTAAGAATTTTTCCTTTAATAAAATTACCTGATAGTATAATATAGCAAACACTATCTTTCTTAGCTATCTTCTGTTTTGACAGTTGACAGCTGGTTATTCATTAGAGCCATCTATCAGCAAATTAGGACTTCTAAATAGCACATAAAAGGAAGGAAAGGGATTCTCTGACTATTCTGTCAGTGAAAATATAAAATTGCAAAACAGTGACAAAAGATGGGATTTTTTTGGTGTGTGTTTCTTCAAAATTAGTATGGTCAAATTAAGAAATAATTTGCTGATGTTAAACATGTTGAACATCAAATACTAAGAAAACGTGATTTGTTTCCAGGCAGCATCATTCCACCCCTTTTTATACAGATAGGATTTCAGGTAATCTTCAAAAAAGTTTTCAGCAAGTTGGGTTTTCTTATTCCTCATGAGTTCTTTTTTTTTTTCTTTTCAAGTTGTTTAGTAATGCCCTACACCCTGAGCTTGAACAGGAAGCTGTCAAAGATCTTGTGTTTTGAGTCTTTCACCACTTAAACAAGAAGCAAAATAATATTTCCCAGATTATTAAGTTTGTGCTTTCAAATATTTTTTGCTCCACAGGTTGCTGGTACACAGCTGTATGACTGGAGTCTTCAAGGATATATTGCTGTAGAATCTCTTTGGAAGGATAATCCTAAGAAGAAGAAATCTGGGAAAAAAAGTGATAAGGTAAGAAGCCTGATGAACTTGATGTCTGAATTAACCACTGCATTTTCAGATGAAGAATGTATGAACAATAGTGGGGGGGTTTCCCCACTCTGACTCAGCTTTTATTTCTGAAGACAAAGATTTCACTCTTACCTTTCTAAGCTTTGGAAAAATGTTAAGCTTTTGAAGTTAAACTTTCAGAAATGTTGTTTGGAAGTTTTCTTTAGTATAACCTACTAAGTGTTTAATAGGAAAGTTAGGAGTATTGTGACTGGAATGCTAGAGATCAAGGCTCTTATAGTCTTGATTGTTTAAGAAAACTTAAGTAGTTAGAGTTAGTAGAAAGAGAAAATGGAATATTTTGTCAAATATACTCCCTTTTTATTTTTGTGCTTTGAATGTTCACAAGTATCTGCTCTAGCATGATGATGTAATTGCGTGCTGCTCTATTAAATGTTCCTAACTAGTCATGAAAATAGCCGTTGATAGGTATATGCAGTTCTTACAGATTTAGACATATATAACTTAGATTTCCTTGCACACTTTAGAGAAGGAAGCCTTTTTTTCCAGCACTTCTGTGGTCCCTGCTAATACAATACCACCAATTCAAGGCATGTGTGCCTTTAGTTACTTTCAGTCTCAATGTATAAGGAAGTATGCTCTTTCATCGTTGACTTACAGTCATCAAAAGGAGTTGCGCTACATTCAAGCCATATTATTCACTATATGCATCCTTGGTTTTGAGTTAGTGTTTGTATCGGTATCTATTTGCTTATGATTGTGTATGTTAAAGCAGTGTATATTAAGACTTTGTATTGGATTTTATATCTAAAAATGTATGTTACGTTTTTATATAAAACCACAGAATGGCTGTGGTTGGAAGGGACCTCTGGAGGTCATCCAGCCCTACCACCCTGCTCAACTGGATCCACCTCCAGCCACTAGTCCAGGACTATGTCCAGACAGCTTTTGATTGCCTCCAAGAGTAGAGACTCCACAACCTTCCCAGGCACTCTGTGCCAGGGCTTGGTCACCCTCACAGTGAAAAAGTGTTTCTTGATGTTCAGAGGGAGCCTCCTGTGTTTCAGTTTGTGCCCATTATCTCTGGTTCTGTTGCTGGACACCACTAAAACCTTGCTCTGTCCTCTGTGCACCCTCCTGTAAGATACTTAAATACATTGATGAGATTCTCCTGAGCCTTCTCTGGTCAAGGCCAAGCAGTCCCAGCTCTCTCAGCCTGTCCTCCTAGGAGAGATGCTTCTGTCACTTCATCATCTTTGTGGTCCTTTGCTGAACTCTCTCCAGTGTATGCATGTCTCTCTTAACTGGGGAACCCAGGACTGGACATAGTACTTAGTTTTTGTCTGTAGAGTTGGTTAAACATAACACACAACTGTACTGAGTTGCAGAGTTTCAATTTTGTGTGTCTATAATTGTTTACTCTTACAAGTTGCTAGATGTTGTGAGTGGATAGTGATGTCCAATACAGCAGTACACAGTGATACCATTGTGTTAGATTAAATATTTATAAATACCACCCTGAAAAGAATTTGGAAGTAAGCTTCTATTTTGCTGCTTCAAAAGCATTTTGAATTCTACAGAACGCTACCATGTTTCAAAGTAAGTGCAGTGTGATTGATTAATGATACTAGTTGAAGATTAATACTTACTTTTGAAAAAATGGGAACTTGTTTTAATGCATCATTACATTATGTAATGTCTTTATCATAATTTATAACCTGCCTGAAGCTTCTGGAGTTAAGTATCATAATGGTGTTTTTTGTTTTTATCTTACTTGACATTTCAGTTACCCCACAGGAACAAACTGTCTTTATAGTTGTGCCTCTCTGATACAGATAAACAAACTGACTTCTAGGAACTGTGTAGATGGCTCAGTGAAGCAGAGTGTAGGAGGTGGGAGAACCGTGCAAATGGATTAAATGTATGCAATGGAGAGGCTGTCAGGTTTTGGGGAATGTTTTTTAATTGCTACTTAAAGAAATACAAGTTCAAGTGTGTAATGTAAAGCTTCTGTGGTTTTAAATTCTAAACTCATTGCATATTCTTGATTTCTAGGGAATTGTATGCTTGTTCTATTGTTACAAACTGCTGCTCTAGCTGAGAGTGCTTTCCATCTCTTATTTTATTTTTTTCATGCAGCCTGGCAAAACTAAGGGCTGATTTTAAAACAGCTTTGAACCAGCAGAAATACTTTGTTTTCTTTTTTTTTTTACTGTGGACCTCCTGATTGAGCCATAGCTTACAACTGGTAACACTTCATACTAGGTTGACAATGTTGTATGTCATACATCAACCAGAAGTCTTATTAGACCAGAACATGGCATCTTCAACCCAGAAGCCTAAGATGGCAGAGGGATAGGCAGTGAGAAGGAGATGTTTTGGAGAGGCAATTTTGCTTGAATGGGCTGCAGGTATGGGACCAAGTTCCCTTGCTAGGTCTAGGTGTGGGACTAGCTCCAAACAAGCTGGGTTGGAGAAATGCTCACGTGTCCTGTCAGTTGTTGAGTCTTAGAGTGGACATTTTATAGGTGCCTCAGTAAATGCACTTGCATAGCTCTTCAAAGAAATAAAGGTTAGTTAATTATACTGTACCTTTCCTAAAACCTCACCCGTCAAAAAGTATCTCAAAAAAATAGGCAACATTAAAATATTTCAGAAAGACAGACTGACAGCATCAGTAAAAATTAGCTGAGCTTTTTATTTTATTGTGTCCCAGGCTTTCAAAAGGAAACATGTGGTTGTTATTGGCGGGCAAAAACTTTTGAAGCTTTCATCTTATTATGAGGCTTATTCAAGCACTTGCTACCTCAGCAGAAAAACAAACGACATGCAAAATTGCAGACACCACTAAGTAAACACACTTCTTTCTCTTCCTCCTTGCAGAATCTTTAAATCACACTCCTTAGCTGCCAAAATACATTTGCACAGTGAAATGCCATTGAATGGTTTTCTCCTTAAATCGATCTAATTGATCATATATTGTTAGTGTTAACTGTTGCCATTTAACAGTGGATTAGCCAAGATACAAACATCCCGTGACTCAAACGAAGAAGAACTACGCAGTTAATGAAACTGCCTGCATTTCAGACAGACGTTCACTGACCTCTTACCACTTGGAGTACACAGCCTCGTTGTTTCTCTGTCCTCTGAAGTGGTTAAAGAGACCGTATTGTCTCCCTGGTGTCTAGAAATGCTATACAACAGTTGGAAAAAGTCACATGCTTTCCAAGTCGCTAGAATGAGGACTGAAAAGTATTTCTCATGGAAGTCTGCTCTGAAACTTCCTTTGCTCTGCCTTGGTGAAGCAGTATAAAATACATGGTTGAGAATTTGAGGGGGAGGTTAGAGGTGGGCTTTTTTTGTTGTTGTTGCTGTGATTTAATTGGCTTTGGCTTTTTTTTAAGATAATGTTGTAATGGTCTATCAGGATGTGGTCAGTCACAGGTAATAATGAAAACCTCTACTTTTTTTTAAATGTGTAAGCACTGATATATCCCTAAAATTATATTTGAGAGGTGAAGTCTAACCTAGAAAAACTTTTTCAGTCTGTTTCTAATGTCATGTGGTTATACAAGTGCAAGAAAATACTTTTTGTCCAATACAGATAATTTGATCCACCAAATCAGGATCAACTTTTCCAGCAAAAGAACTTCAGTTTAAGTAGCATTTTTATTGGGGCTTTTAGTGATACAGAAGTATCATGGAAGTAAATACATACTTCTAACTATCACGGACTGAAGTTGGCAAAGCTTTCTAGGATACATTCTGGGACTTACGTCTTAATTCGACAGCCCTGTGAAATAATTTGGTTGGTTTTGTATATTTATTTCTGTCATACTAGGCAGCTAAATTCCTTAACTAGTGAAGGCAAATATAAATGTTATTCTTAAGTTGTTGTTGCAGCAGATGTAACCCATTCTGTGAAACCAAGCCAAAGCAAAATATGTGGATTTTTTTTGTTTTATGATATTTGCTCTAGCACTTTCCTGTTGCTACACAAAGGATTCTTGCAAATAGTCAATAAATACATGGGTGGCTCTTCTTGGCTTGTGTTAATTTGTTACATTGTTCATAATTTGTTTGAAAGTCATAGGTACCACAGCTGTGCATAGCTTCATGTTTGTGCAGGAATCTGTCATTAAAATAGATGTGGTATGTTAATTTTCTGAAGGTTTTATGAAACAAAAACCTGTGCCAAATTGAGGTCATATCAACTGAAATCTAAGTTCTGCCAAGAAAGATGAAGTTCCAGGACCTTCTGCTGCTGCATTTCAAAACACTGTGGCTGGAGCCCCTCTACAGAGCAAGTCTGTCTAAGCTTTTGAATACACTGTTTACAGTACAATATTTTGGTATCCTCAAGCTGGGTTGTTGAAGAAGCCAGATCTTCAGTGTGTCAGGATGAAAGCCCTCTGCTAAAACTACACAAGCACCTTAAATGAAAATCAGTGTTCACATTTTTTATTTTCAGAAAGATGAAATATTTTCCTAACAAAGAACAGCAGGAGTAGTTACTCAGCTTCTGTGCATTTTATCTTGATGTAAAGTGGACAACTTTTCTACTTCTTCCTCCAGGTAGAGGCGATGGTAGAAGAAATGTAAATGCCTTGTTGGGGGGCAGGAATACTTTTAAGGGCTTTTTCTTTTGAAAATTTGTTGCTTACTTGAGTGATTTTTACTCAGAAGAACTAATTCCACAACATCAGTGGAATTAGTGTTAACATTTGTATTATGTTGTAAATCCTTAGGGGAAGAGAGAGTGAAATGGAAGATGGGGTCTTCAATCCTCATTTATCTTAAACTCAGTGAGCAAGATTTGCAGAGAATCATACCAAATTGTGCCTTTGTGCAATTTTTTTAGAATTAGGTGCCTGAAACCTTTTTCAGGGGTTAAACCCTTGGGGAGCATCAAACTTTCATTACTGGGTTTTTGGGATTATGAAGGCTAATACCCCACATTGTCTTCAGCTAGTCGTTGTGAGTAACTGGTCCCTCTGGTCTGCCCAATAATAGAAGTGTTCATCCAAGGTCATGTTTTTCTATACTTCTTTTCTTGCACACTTTTTTCTGCCTTCCAGTGCCTACAAAAGTGTTGAACTAGCTGAACTGTTAAGCTAGTGAAATGCAGCTTCTTGTTTGTTTTGTTTGGTTTATCTTTTTTTAAGATTTTTTTTTTTTTCAGTATCCCACCACAATCTATTTATTATTGGCTGAGCTTATTAGCTTTAATACCTGTCCTTAGGTCAGAGGGATGGAGGAACCATAGCAGCTTGAGGATTTTGTGCAACAACATACACTTGAGTGAGGAGTGTGGCTTTCCATACAAAGGATTATAATTTACTCACAGAAAACTGCTTAAAGATCAGTATTTCAGAGCCACAGTTCAAAACATACCACTTTGTAAGTTTCTAAAAATTGAGATCGTTTGTCAGTCAGCTGATTCAAGGTTTATTTTCATTTTGCCCTTCCTCTTCTGCTTCTGGTTTTGATACCTCTGTAATTTGCACTGTTGTATTGGGCTGTGGAGTTGTTCTCTCTCATACTGTAATGACTTAGTCTTCAAGTGACAAGGGCATGTACTATACCACCAGGTCACTTAAACCCAGGTTTTGTTCCAACCAGAGAGCTAATAAGTACTGAAACCATAGAAAAATTGTTTTATCCAGTGAGTTCTCACTTCGTCTTGTCCTTATACCCCTCAAAGCCTTCTGATGTATTTTCAGCTATTCTGGATGCTTTATCTTCCTCCAACACTGAATTGGGCACTCATTGCTTTTACTGAAGTGACTGAAATCTGAAAAAACAGAGCAGCACTAGAAATCAGGTCTTGTGCCTTTCTTCACATGTGTGCTCTCTTTCACTCTGGTCCAGTCAGTAACAAAATCTTGCAGAAAAAAAAAAGGTATTTTTTTTCTTGTGGTCTCTCATTTGGTTGTTTAAACAGCTTCAGATATTGAGATAAACTCTTGCAGCCTATTGTTAGGTTTTCATTCCTGCCTGGTCTATTGAAAGAAACTGTCTATCACTTACTAACACAATATGTGTTAACATATTTTAAACCTACATATATATTCATTACACATATAAAAATATAGCTTTATCTATATAACTATCTCTGGGTGTTTTACTAATTGCTAGCTGATGACAAGAGTGCTTGCAAGTGCAAAGACTGCCCAGCTTTGGGTACTTGTTTCCTGTGCTTGCTTAGAACAAGCATCAAGGAAACTGTGGACCTGGATTTTGCTCACCCGAAAGCTCTGGTGGAAGTTGTGGTGTTGACTGGGGAGCTTTACCATAAGCATCATGGATAATTACTGTAGCAAACCTTAAATTGTGTTTTAAGAGCGGAGTTTGTAAAGTCACTTGTGTTGTGAGCACAAGTTTAGAACACAACGTAAGCAGATGAGAGCTTCTTTCTACAGTAAATACTTGTAGGACTTGTCTTCAGTAGCTTCTGAACAGACAAATAAAAGTTGGTCTTCTGAACTAAAAGATAAACACCTACTTCTGACAGGAAATCCTGTTCCCTGTCATACACTCTGCTTTTATTGCTTGGTAGTATGAACAACAACAGAGTAAAACTTGTAAAAATTAATACTTCTTTTGGATTGGATCCTTAGTGTGGGCCGTGGTGAATTTAAATGTGTTAGATGTGGGAAAGACATAATCTAATCCAGAAAAAGTTGAGCTTTTTAGGGCAACTTAAGAGTAATTTTTTAAAGTGCTTTTACTAAGTGTTTGAAACTCTTGAAACTTTTGAAAGTGCTATTGCTAAGAGAGTTGAGGTCAAGCTCAGCTAAAACAAGAAGATGGAAAATAAGTTATTGATTGACAGGGGAGGATGAGAAGATAAGCTAGTGAAGTTCTCTTTATTCTAAGCAATGCATTGCAAACAGAAGAAAAGGTAAATTATTCATCTGTGAGCACAGATGAGCCTTTGTTTTTCTTTTGCAGCTGTTATTTTTTTTTTCTGGTGGCCAGACTCTACCTTTCAAGAGTTTTCCATAAGCAAAGGAGAGTTTTGCAGAAATCATGGTTGGTTGTGAGGGGGGTTTTTTGTGTTTGTTTTTTGTTTTTCTTTTTAAGTTTGTCATTTCGTATTGAGGTCTCAATGTATCTCTGTTAGATACTGCGAGCTAAGTTAGCGTGTGTCTTAATCACTTGACTGAAACCTTTCAAAAAGCATTGTGTACAGTTCCCTTATTTTAAATTTCAAATAATTATGTTTTAATATTTCTTCTACTCCCATAGAATCCCAATGTATTGAAGGTTTTACTAATTAATGTGTTATGGAGATTTCTTACCTGTCACCTCTCAGCTGAAGCTGTCAGATATGTATGAATACTGCAAAATGTTTCACCTTCTGCTTTGGAATAGAGCTTGGCTGAACTCCTCTGGCCACCCAGATACCTTATGGAGTGGTTTTGTCAATCCAGAAAATAAAAATACCATCTTGAATGTGTGCCTACTTCTAATTATGAGAGGGTATCATGGCCCAGAGGAGGTCTGTCTTCTGGGTCATTGATCTAAACACATTTTTTGCTTCTGATCTAGTTTTGAGTGTGACTAGAGGACTTCAACGCTTTCTTGTAAGATTAGGTGTGTTTATTTCTTGTGCCAGCTCAAAGGATGTTCTTTTCTGGTTTACCCATATTACTACTTGATCAGTCTCACTCAGGCTTACTGTTTAAGTAGTGAGCATACACAGCGGGTGGCATTAAAAGAGCTTCTTTGCTATTCAGCAAATGAGTTTGTGCGAGGGAATGAAGGTTTAGCAGTGGAGTGGCTTGAATTAAATAACTCTGGCTTAATAGATCTAGTGAAGACAGGCTCTGTGTGGAAATCTACTGAGCTTAGAGAAACAAGGGAACTGAGCAAGACACTTCTCCTGTACATTTGTCTGTATGTTGTTCCTTTGGGTTGGTTTGTTTTCACCTTACCTAGATGGGGTTTGCTTTTTACAAGTTAAAACAAGGAAGTGGAAAAACATAGAACTCTCTGTGAACAACTTAGTTTTAGTTCATATGCTCAGGATTGAGCAATTCCTGAGATGAGGCATCATGAATCAGATCATTCATTATAAATTGTAGTAAAATGTCATAACTTACAAGTTCCTGAACAGGAAAATTACAGAGTAGATGATTATTTGGAAATAGGTGTGGTTTGTGGATGTGATTTCCTATACTATGAAACGTCTGGGGTAGTGATCAAAACAAAATGGGTTTTGGAAAAAATTACCCTTTAGTCTTGCTAGGCATTTTTGAATAAGAAATTTAAGAGTTATCTTTGTAATTGAATCTTGATGTATTGAGTCCATATCTCCAGTGCAGCATATGCAGGGTCTCATAGACTCAGTGCCTTATTCATTGTGTGTAATTGGTACTGGGACATAAATTTGACCCATCCTGTGAAATGTTTGTTTTCCGGTCTCTTCTGGCTTCTTTTGATACATTTTCACATTTAACTCACATTGGTAAAAACAAGTTTTCAGAATAAAAACAAAATGCCATTCAGTTTTCACATGTAGGATTTAAGAATATTTGAGGCTGGGTGTGACCTCTGATTGTTTCATCTAACCCCCTGTTCAAAGCAGAGATAGCTTTGAAGTTAGATTTGGTGTCTTAGGGCTTGTGCATTCAAGTGCTGAATATTTCCAAGCCTGGAGTTTCAAAAAGTTCTCTGGATAACGTGCTTCAGTACTTCATCAGTGGTATGATATATTATTTTTCCCCTGTGTCCCCTTAGATCTAACAGAAATTTGCTGTGCTCGTGAACCTCTGAGAAGGGCCTAGCTCTTCCAAATGTGTAAATGCCTGTTAAGGAACTGTGGATAGCAATTAGGTTTCCCCTTTGTCTGGTTTTCTCCAAGCTTAACAGACCCACATCTCTCAGCCTGTTCTTTTATATCATGTGTTTCAGTCTCCTAGCCATGTGTGGCCCTTTAAGTATTTTTTTAATTGATATGTATTTAAAACTATAATCAAATGCCTGTTTGTTATAGCATACTTGGCAAATAGACCCGGCGCTCTAACAAGCTTCTCTTCGTTCTTTGATTTCTATCACTTATTTTGGGGAAAGTGTGAGAACACTCTCTCAAAGCATATGTTCTAAAAGAGACCTATTGTATAAATCCACGCAGAATTCAGAGATGCAAACTACTCTGTGGGAATTCATCCTCTGCTATTAGTGCAGACAAAATGAGTCAATTAAAACATTTCTGTTGAACTACTTGTTCTTTCAAATCCTTTAATTACTCATCTAACTACAGGAAGACTAAAATCTATAAACTGTTTGGGAGAAGATCATATTTGAGTATATTATACTGAATTAATCTCATCAACCACTTGATTTTGCAAGAAGTTTTTGTTCCAGCTTTTGAAGAGTGTTTCTGTTCTGGCAGAAACATTAATCATGTGTTGCCTCACTTGAAATTTTCTGTGTTTTTTTCCCTTCTCAAGGGTGATGCAGATGGTGGCAGCCCACTGGAAATCCATGCTGCTTCAAATGGAGAGCAAGCCCAGAAGTAAAACACCAGATCACTTGGAATCAAACAGGTAAAGGATAAAGACTGATAACAGTATGTAGCTACTGTAGCAAAATAACCTGGCAAAGCTGAATGTTTGCAAGTTTGACTTGTAATTTTCTTCATATTGATGAACAAAGAAGAGCAGAGAGGTAATAATTTTATTAATCTTAACATTGGTCAAGAGTATGTGTGCCCTTAACACTTTAGCTTACCTAAATTCTTCATCTTTAGAGCATAGCACATAAATGTATGTCACCTCCAAAGGTTCCAAGTTCATTTAGCAAAACCTTGTTAGCATTGGTTGTTTTGGGGTGGTTGTTTTTTTTTCTTTCTTCCCTTCTCATTTCTGCCATGCATACCAAAAACCTCTTTGCCACCTTTGTCCCACCTGTGCATGTATGAAGGAGGGGAAGTCAACCTCTTTCCTACTGATGTGTTTAAAGATTTGTTAGTGCCAGAGTGCAGCATTATCTTACAGCCTGTAACAGTCCATCATGTGTCTGACCTTTCATGTGGAGCACCTCCCTAACAAGATGTGCTTCATCAGTTGGGAACGAATGATGGAAGAAATGGAGGCAGCCTTTCCCAGTTCCCAGAGCCAGAAACTGCCAGTTCTGTTTCTGACTTGGCCACTGGACTGCTTTCTAAACTCAAGCAAGTTCTGTGATTGTTCCAGTTTCTAGAAAAGCAAAACAAAAACACATTCTCAGCTTTTTAAAGATGGTTCAGTTTCATAGGACAAAATTTGCTCTGTATTTGAGGTTTATTATTACTAATGATAATATAATTTCACATAATTTAATACAAAATATGACAGTCTGCTCTGTCATCAGTTGATAAGGGATGCCTTTTCTCAACATGTTTTCTGGTTGCTTGTGTTTGCCCTATATTATTTTCACATTATGTCAAAGACTTGTTTTTTGTCAGAAAGTAATACTTGCAAATGTTGGGATTTCTCATTTTTTTTATTCAGTGTTCTACTCACCAGTAAAATCCCTTTTTTCTGAACTGCCAACTGTGTAAATAGAGTTCAGATTTAGAAAACTGCAACATTTTTTTCTTCCATGCATCATCACCAGTCACAAATGTTTGCAGATGTGATGAAGCACCCTGTTACACCGTTCCACTGTTACATGGTTAGCTTTAAAAGCAAAACTAATTTGGAATGTCGTGTTTCCCTTAATGTATTTTTGATTGCTATAGCTAATTCTCACAAGGGCCAAAAGGTGTATGTTGGCTGATTTATTGAGTACATTAGTTTTTCCTTCAGGCATGTGAATATAAAGTCTTTAAGAATAGGTGCTTTTCAAATATTTCATAAAATAGCAATGTAAAAGAAAAAGAAAAAAAAAGTAATTCGGAAGAACAGTTTTGTTTTAAGTAAAGATACCCAGGAGAATCAAGAGGAAGAAAAACTTCTCTAAAATATTATGCTTATTGTGAATTAGGACAGAGCCACTAAATTATAAAATACCAGGAAAATTGATCTTTTGTTTATATATGTGGGATACTGTACAAATATCAAGGTTTGTTACAAACAGAAACCCATAAATAGCTTTTATTTTCTTTTACCATTTCTTATGTGTGAAAGTAATTTCTGGTAGGTCATTATTCACTTTTTTAAATGCTAGTGCTTGTTGCTGAAGGTACATTCTTTTTAAGAGGGATAGGTGGAAGGAAAGGAACAAAAGATCTGAGGAAGAGTTCCACTGAAGTTGGTATCTTCGAGATTTTAATCATAAATATACTCAAGCTATATAAGTTTTGAGGAAAACCTCATTAACAGCTGCTGTATCAGATGTCCTGGTCTTTCTTTTTAAGGAGTTTAGATAATTGCTCATGTGCTTAAAGTACCTAGATGCTGCTGGTTTTGAAATCTGCTTCTTTTGCCACGTGTTTCTGGAGGAGATCCATAAATCTTTTTGACCTAAAGCAACCAAATGGTGAAAGTTCAGTTCAGTATCAGTTTTCAGCTGTTCTGCGGGGGTGGCAGTTTGTTACTTCTGCTTGAAATCAAACCCAGTTGTTTAACTCCATACCCAAATCCAGATGTTTTGTTGGATTTGGGTGATCCCAAAGGCTGGAGAACACTGCTGTGATTTTTGAAAAGGCACATTTGTTTATTCTGAATGAGATCAGTCCTAAGAGTCTCACTGTATTTTCAACTGTTCCTGGTTGAATCTGGTTACTAAAATAAATACAATCTCATTTTCCTTATAAAGATTTGCTACAGCATGGGTCTCTGAATTGACAATGGTCAGCCAAGGGCAAAGTCACTTTGGGTTGGAGACAGTAACATATTTCTCCATTGCAAAAAACAGCAGCAATGCACCTTCTTTATTGTAGTCTGTCATCTATAATTATATGCAAACTACAGCTCAAACCACATCCCCTTGTGGGAGAAGCAAGCTTTAATGTTACGCAGCTGTTGTGCTGAAGAGTTGCATGGAAGCGCCATGGCTTTGTGTTTTTCCATGAATACAGCACATCTCATTTTCACTCTGTTTGGGTTCTCTGTTTATGTAAATCCATTTCTTTGAGTTAAATTACCCTAGCTTTTCATGAGATTAAGTGAGATTAGGAAAAAATGTGTTTGATGGGAATTAAAAACAATTATTTGTGAGAAAGTTGGTTTATTACGTAAGATTGCAGTTGGTATCTTGCTGCTGTGAAGTGCTTTTTCTCTTTTATATTTCCATACAGTTCAACTAGAGGAATTGAGTTATTTAGGATTAATCATTACTGCTGTAATGTCAGTAATATGAAGAGTTAAGTCTCTTTACTAGAAGTCAGTTGGTATGGAGAATTTTCTTTGATGTGGCCAGGTGATGAAATCTATTTGAGGGACTATTTTTAGCTGCACTTTGACAATGGAGAAAAAAGGCCTGTGATACTTAATTCTGCTTTCTCCCTCCCTTTTCCCCCTATTCTCTGTGCCCTTTCCTTGGTTATAGGTCAACAAAAAATATAGATACGAGCAACAACTTCCCAAGAAAAAGAGGAAGACCATTGGAACCCTTTTGATTTTTGAATGTGACTAATCAGCCTTCTGCCTCTGAAAAGACTGACGATGTGTTGCTTGGGCATCTGGTATGGAATCTGTGAAAGTACATTACATATTTCAGATGAGCCTTGAGATCTTGTCCTCAGTTCTGCAGTGGAACTCAAGTCTGCCCACACTTGTCCTGTTGCAGAATCAGCATTGCAAGTAGCAAGTCTCAAAATTCTTCAGTCTCCTGTTACTATTTATATATAAAATAAAATTCCAGTTACACAAAATGGTCCTGTTTTTTCCCCTCCTTCTGTCTTCTTTAAGCTTATGTATGTGACATGTGCACAGTCCCTGAAAGGGTCTCAACATACTGTTGACAATGTCTGTATTTTTTAACACTGAGGAAAAGCTTAAAGTGGCATGATGTTTTGGCTAACATTAGCTAATAGAATTATGAACCAGAACAATTACAATGACTCTTGTGTTTTGTCTGAGTCTCCCCCTCCTTTCTGTATAAATCTTCTGCCTCATCAGTGCCAGCAGGAGGTATATAATGAAGCATCTGTGAGTTCCTGTCTAGTAGATGGATGGGAATGGAGCTGTTGATGTTTGTTCTTGTTTTTGCTTGAATGCACAGCTCAATGGGAACCAGAACATGATGGTGGTGGGAACCAGCTATAGAATAACTTGGCTGTTTCCTTATTTCCAGCCAGGGGAGGGGAAGGAAAAGTGAAGTGAAGGGAAATATAAAAGGATTTCCAGCATTTTGAAATCTTTGCACAATAAAACCCTTTCAGCATCTGTTGCCATTTCCATGAGTTTCTCTTTTGGGGCATGATGCTTCACTAGTTACTGTAATCCAAGTAGCTTGGAGCATTTAAAGCTGTGTTGATGAGTCTTAAATGTTCCTGAAATAATTGGTGATTATGAGGAATGGGGGAAGGATGGAATTACATGTGTACTTGTAGAATATATTGACTTTCTAAAAGAAACAGGGAAGAAAATACAAAGCAAGTAAACCTTTAAAAATGTTTGTTATTTCTTCATTAAGATTTTCCTGCTGTGTATGTTCTGCAGACTTTTAGGGAAAAACAATCAGGCCTTGGCAATGCGAATACCAGTCTGTGTGGGCATTATGAAATGGCCAACTCTTTTTCAGTACAGGCATAAGGCATGTGGTTGCCTCAGGCAGAAGAACAGTATCTCCCAATGTGATAAGTGTATGTTCTTAAGATTGTTTTGGGCTGGAAAGATGGGTGTTGATTTAGCAAAGGGAGCAGAGGTCTTGTGTGAGATTTGGGGGGTGTGTTGTTTTGGTTTTTACTTTAAATTCACCAACATAGTTCAAACAGGCTTGGGAGGATCAAAGTAGAGTTTTTGTCAATCGTGGAAAGGAAACTTGAGAAATATTGGTCATACCTGTCTGTAACTGCTCTCTTACACTGCTCTTGCAAAACCAGCATAGATTTGTTTCTTCCCTTAAAGATAGTCCTTCACTTAGGCATTCTCATATCCTAGAGGAAATTAATACAACTTTAGATGTTTGTATTTTTTTCAGTAATATTTGGCCTATGCCACATTGTTATCTAAGAGCATGATTGCTTGGTAATTCAGGTATTTTCACCCCTAGACTCCACCAAAATGTGCTTCCTTCATTCTCCTTATTGTTGCAGTTTTTGTTATTCTGTTTCTCTTTACTGCCTGTGAGAGCAAAGTGAGATTTTTCAGGTCCAGTGACTTTCATTAGCTAATGTTCATTCAAACACAACAGCTTTTTAGTCTTTGCTTACATATGTGTGTGCATTTTTTTTTAAATCCTGGGTTAAATAAGTATCACTTGACTTAAATGCTTTTTACTTGATCACATCTTCATACTGCATATTTACACCACTGCTTAAAAATTTCCCAAGTGATAGACAGCAAAACGGAATGCTTTTATGTAGCAGGAAATTACTTCCTTCAAGCACCTGCATACACACATGATGAGGAGATGGTGCCAAAATGTGAGC